TGGGGGAAACCTTTTCTCTCCAGGGTTCAGTCTCTCAACTTTACAAGCAAACTTTGTTGTTCCTACTTTATTTATTTATTTATTTAGGACAGTGCATGTTAATGAACATAAATGTAAAAAAAAAAATTACATGAATGTAAACATACCAGATTATAGCCAAGGGCTAATTTCCATCTGTTGTCCTTAAGCATAAAAATAGACATAATAATTCATAAAAATTCATCATTCATTCATAATAAAAACTCCATCACCAAACTTACACATACACACCATTCTGTTCCCAAATAAAACATTAAAACTATACAACTCATACATGATCACACACTTGATTTGTCCATAACCAGTTTTTAACCTTTGCCTTAAACAAATTGAATGTCGAGCATTCTCTAATGGGTTGAGGAAGACTGTTCCACAGATGGCCTCCTGGACAGAGAGGACGTTCATCCCAAATGCTGTCCGTCTGTGGGGTATAAACAAGTCTCCTCGGATTGTAGCTCGAGTGGTCCTGTCTGAGCTTTCTTTATGCCTAATGAACTGCTTTAGTGGTGGTGGAGCAAGGGAGTGTAAGACTTTATATATTAAACTCACTCTTAAGTTTCACTAAGTTATTGAAGTTCAGTAATTTATGTTTTTTTAACACATGACAGTGGTGGTGGGAAGTCGGTTTTTTGTCAAGTAGTTTTAAACTTCTTTTATAAATGTTTTCAATAGTTTTAAGTGTTGTTGGACAAGCAAGTGACCAGGACGTCAATTAGTCTGACTGTTATACTGACGAGTCGCTGCAGCTATTTTGATTACCATTACGGTGTGAATACAGGTGTAATTAATAAGTTCTGTTATGGCCATGGGCCTCGGTTCATGCCATTCTGTTTAGTAGGGCACACCAAACTATGATTCATTTAATCCAGCGGTCCCCAACCCCGGGCCTCAGACCGGTACCGGTCCGTGAGTCGTTTGGTACCGGGCCGCGAGAGTTGAGGCTCAGGTGTGAAATGTATGGTTTTCAGGGTTTTTATCGGTTTTCAGCGTTATTTTGTTATCGTTTTATCGTTAACTCGGTTTTCCTGGGTCTTTTCACGTGTGTTATGAATAAATCTTCTTTTTTTCGGTACCGGTACTAGTTTTATTTTGTTGTATTTATCCGCGACACCTTAAAGGCCGGTCCGTGAAAATATTGTCGGGCATAAACCGGTCCGTGGTGCAAAAAAGGTTGGGGACCGCTGATCTAATCAATTATACCTTTGTTTAGACTGCTGCGCTATATCAAAGTGGATGTTGTGTTTTCTTCCTCTTCTAATACTACTTCTGCTAATTCATGCTCGCTGCCACTTTAATCCCGAGCTCTCTCCTCCTCTAGATGTCAAGATCAAAGATCTGACTTCGCTCTGATATGTAGTCTCACCTTTTGATTTTTATTGGCTGGTGACTTTTTGACTGTGAGGGCCGGTCAAAATAACTTGGATAAAACATGTATACAAGGATAACATGAAGCCCTGCACCAGTTAGATGAAATAAACAACCAGAACACAACAGGAGCCGGTACTTATTGCAGTTTTTGTTCTCTGGCTTTGATCAAGTCCTTTTGTGTCTGAAAACACTCGTATACAAAAATACATGTTGCTAAGGTATCCAAGGCAACATAACATTAAGTGTAGCACAGATGTGTCGAGATGATAGAAACATCTAACCAGGTAGTTAGCATGCTTGACTGACCTTTAACAGTCCACATGGGAACTCTTTGATGCTGCTTGAGATCAGAAAGTAGCTGTAGTTTAATTGGCTTTAGTCACCAGCACAGTGGACAGGGCCACACATCAAAGTATGATCAAGGGCCCTGGAACACTGTGCATAAAAGCTAGTATGCACAGACCATGCTTACACTGACAAATGAGAGTGATACAGTCGTCTGATAGAATACAGTGGTTTGAGTAAAAGGATACACACTCTCTGGTTTGCAAAAAACACACATTTCTCTCACACTTGATGATTAGAAACTGCATGTGACATGACTGGATAGTTGGAGTGGCAGTAAAGGTTGAGGTGGGGGGTCTTAATCGTCAACTAAAGCCAAGGTGAAAGCTGCTGCTGTCAGGACCCCCTAGCTAGCTAAATCCCTGCAAACTGTTATCTTGCTAGATGAAAAGCTAACGTCTTGTTACTATTGAGTCCTAGTGATGGGCCTTACACAATGCGCAGCGATAGGAAACTCTGGGGTAAAATGCAATTCAGGGCGTAAATACATTTTCAAAAGCAGCTCCCTCTCTCTAATGCGGGGTGATTATTTGAGAATAGCGTTCTCCAGAGGCCTTTTATGGGGCTGAGCATAGTCGCTCTGGTTAGACACGGCAGCTATCAGCTTAAACACACCCGTGCTGCCACCTTTGAGATTAGCCCTCAGATTCCCATCTCTTCCATCATGCAGACTTGACATTTAGTTACAAGATAGAAAATTGTCTTCACAACACCTCAAAGGAAAACTTTAGTACCTGACAGGGGAGGGGGAAGATCCCAATTATGTGGCTGAGTCAATGAAAATATAATGCAGGATGCCAAAATAATCCAGCATGAGTTTCTGCCTAGCACCGTTGAAAGACATGAAAATGAAAACATCAGTGTGGATGGTCCTTTTAAAATATCCTAAGCTAACTGGCATGATTGAATATGAGGTGTCTGCTTAGTTATTGAAAAATATCTCGCTTGATGGCAGAAGTAAATTAGAATGGAAACATGTTAAATCCTTGCACAATGCAAAAGAAATTAAAAAAGCCAGAGTAAGTTCAACAAATAGTTTGATGTAATGCCAACAAGTTCCAACATTAGCCTCCGTACCACACATCTCATCCTGCTTTTCTTCCAGTTTGCCATAAAAAGAAAATAGAAAACAATTAAAACCAAGTTTTTTCCACCTCCCCCTGCAACAATGAACCAGTTTGAATTGATGTTAATGGATTTCACATCATGTTGCAAACCAAAAATATTAATGCACTGATAGTTTTTTGTTTCTTCTTTACTTAGCTAGATACTAGAGTCGACTTCCTTGGTAAGTGCATTTTTTACATCATAAACCCAGTTCAATTTCATTTATACAAATCACAACAACAGTCGCCTCAAGGTGCTTTATATTGGAAGGTAGACCCTACAATAATAGAGAAAACCCAACAATCATATGACCCTCTGTGAGCAGCACTTTGGCGACAGTGGGAAGGAAAAACTCCCTTTTAACAGGAAGAAACCAGAACCAGGCTCAGGGAGGGGCGGGGTCATCTGCTGTGATTGGTTGGGGGGAGATAAGGATAAAGACATGCTGTGGAAGAGAGACAGAGATTAATAACAGGTATGATTCAGTGCAGAGAGGTCTGTTAACACATAGGGAGGGTAGAAGAAACACCCAGTGCATCATGGGAATCCCCCAGCAGCTGCACCTATTGCAATAAATGAGAACGTGGACGTTTTGGTGAACACTAATCGGACAGGCAATCAAGCCTAGAGTAACCCTGGTCTGTGATGAGTGGGTTTCTGGAACATTTGTTACTCCAAAGGAGAGTTTAGCCTGAAAGGAACTTGAATGTCAAACTTGAGGAAAAAGTCGAACCCCCGTGACACCCTGCTTTTCCTCTCGAATCCTCAGTGAGGGATTTTGGTGACCCTAATCCATGTTGTGCACAGTTATTCAACCCTGAGCCAGAAAGAATGTGGGTGTGTGGGTGCTGAGAGGGGTAAGTTGCGTTCTGTCATTGTTGCCTGACTTCAAAGCTGCCAGCTCACCATGCTCTCTTCTGAAATCCCCCCAAAACCTGACAACATTAGAATACCATCAAACACTCTCTGGCTGCCTTTGAAATGCCACTGACACTGTTTGGCGCTGCAATTTGCGGGCTCTAACGAGCGCGCCCATGTTATTGAAATAAATCTGAGGCTTGTAATGGGAATGGAAATGAACACATCTTTCATGCTTTGGATTAGAAGTGAGAGTTGAATATTGAGACAGAGCCTTGTTTCCCTCGAGAGTCAGTTGTTGACTTTGTAGCTCTCCGTAGCTGTCCATTGTAGCCTTGCCGTTTCTGGCATTTTCTTTTCCCATTCCCTTTTCTCTCCTTCTTCTCTCTACGTTCATCCTTCACTCTGCTACTCTCGTCTTCTTTCCTTCGTCCAGAGGGCAGAAAACGATTCTTTCCAAATGAAAGACTATAAAATGTCTGCAAGAAAAGGTAAAAGCAACCAGACTACACAGCCACAAAGGTTAAGTGTACTAATTGAGAGCTTTGTTAGACTCAGTCTATTGATTTTAAAATCACACAGGAACTTGTCTCTGTCCACTTGGTCATGGTGTGATGGAAAATAGCCGTACAGTAGTAATTTAGGTAGATGAATACACAATGTAGTCTTCCAGCAAATTATTTGAATTACATTGAATTTCATGATATGGTGAAAACATGAACAATTAGAGACCATCTGAGGATGACACACACACACAGACACACACACACACACACACTGCACACACACACACGGGATGAAAACAATACGAGCCTTGCTGTTGCGGCGGGTAATAAAAGTTTGAGCGCTTTCATCAGTGGAACAATACGTGTTAATTACAGCAGTGGGTTGCCATTGTACTTGAATTGAACAGCAGCCTTTCCCCTACTGCGGGCTAATCTGTATGCGTTAGAACGATCACTTAGACTAAATGCAGTGAGACTCGTGCGTCGCAGTCAACACATCATTTCTAAAATTAAGGGGTAGATGCTGTTTCCAAGAAACTTAAGTGCCTGCATTTAGTCGAGTGTTTATCATATGACAACAATGCAACGTAACCTTGTATAAAATGAAGACGTAGAGGGAATATTTTAGTAGTACTGTAAAGTTCTTACACTCTTAGTACAGAACCATCATTTTAGCTATATGGTTATATCAATGCATCAAAAAAGCCTGAAAACAGATGAGTTTTGTTAAAATAATGAAAAATAATAATTTAAATAAAGAGTCCAGTCCTGCTTGCTTTAGCAGTATCTGTATCGCGTGGTTGGATCTGTGACCGTAGGACTCTTGGACCAGTTCTGTGGGTACCAAACCAAAAAAGCACCAACCAGATTCATTTGTTTTGAAGAAGTCTGTGAGCTGGCCTTTACTGTTGTGGCCTGAGAGACTGCACGCTGATATATTTTTTTCTTTCCTGCTGAAAAATTGTTGTCCATTGCACTTAATGTAACAGCTCAGTGCTGCTGTGCCGTCTAGTTCCATTGCTTCCTGCAAGACTTTAATTTGCTGTTGCAGAGAATGGTGGGTTTGCACTTACAACACAATTCCTCTCCAGCACGGTGCTAGAAAACAAAGCAGTGAATGTCAGTAAGAATCTGAAATTAGCAGCAGTCATGAATGCTTCTTTTCTGGTGAATCCCTGTCTTTTAAAATAATATATGCTGTATCCAGTAAATTACAGTTTAAATACCCTCACTGCTTATTCAATTAAAAAAAAGAAATACTCGACCTAGTTAGAGGTTGTAGGAGACTGTGTTTCATTTAATACATTGTAATGGGTAAAGACCGATGACACATATTTGGAAAGACACAGTTTTGACCCAAATTTACCAATTTATCAACCAACAAAGAACAAAAAACCACAATTAATGTTAATTAATGCTAATGAATTTTGTGAAGTGAGGTAGTGAATGATACCACTGAAACACTCATCCGTCCAGCAGTTAGATGATGGTTTCAATGATAGGCAGAAGCTGTTAAATGGTTTGAATTGTAAATCAATGTGGCTGAAGCCAGTCGAACGAACAGTCTGGTGCTGGGTGGATGAAGAGCGAGAACAGAGGCTGGCAGACGAATTATACCACACTGCACAGTAGCTTTGCCTGCACTGAAACCTAACACGCACCTCTCTGCGACAGTCGCAGCCTGCACAGGTATGCCGGCAACACGCATAGGTTATGTCAAAGGGTCTGCATAGATTCCAGCTTGAAAAAGCATTCAATTCAATGCTTCAGGGAGACTGGCCAGGTGCTCCCAGTTGAACTGATCAGTTCCACCAACCAGAAACCTTCGAGGCAGCACAGAGGAACAGACGGGGTCAACACGCAGCGCAAAGAAAAGTAGCGCTGTAAAACAAAAGTTTGCTTCATTGACTTATTCATGGTCTCTATGGAATAAACAAGAGATTGGCAGTCTGACATATTTAATCACTGTTGTTGCACATAAACTGGTTTAGACAGCATTTAACATACAGACAGAGAAAGTTGAATATTAGGTTTAACTTTACAGAGAAAGCTTGTAGCCTCTGCACTAAAGCTGAGCTTTATCTTCAAAGTTGCTTTGAGAAACACGATGAATACGGTCTCATCTGAAGCCGTTTCTTCCTCAGAGCGATGGCCTCTGAGTCCCCATTGTGAGGGGAACGCACAGCAGTGAGGCTTTTGGGTGTTTTATGAAAGATTTCCTTCATGAATAACTACAGAGTTCCTTATATGAGTTAAGATAAGCAGTGGATTGAATCACGTAGGACGCTGCCTGTCGGCATCTCAGAGAAGTCTTTTTAAGTCTTTTTCATGTACATTTATCTTTGTTTTAATTATGAATTAACTGGCTTTTGCAGACAACGTGTGAGTCCAGAACCACGTGACTTGATTAATAATGCTAACCGTATGGAATATTCGGAATCACATGATTCCAGTCCAACTCCAGTCCTGATATCAAACAGAATTTTTTAAAAAGAGATGATGAGACTTAAATAAGCTACCATGTTTGCGTCCATCGTCCTCTGTTCAGTCATGTGCCAAATGCTTTCCTAACAAACAACAGCATCCACACATGCAGACTTCCTGCCCCTCTTCCCTCACTTATCCTCCCTAACAGTCGGATTCATTACAGGAGGCTGAGGTAAAGAGAAGGTGAAGGATGAGGGAGGTGAGGATTGTCAGGGGTGATGGTGGGGGAGTACATGGGGATCATGTTGCAACACCTAGGGGAGTGTGTGAGAGAGATAAAGCGAGGATGAACATGATCAGAGGGGATAAAGCTCGGTCGAGTCCTCGGCAGTAACTCCCTCAGTCAGAGAAGGCAAGCCCACATGTGCACGCAGAGGTGACACTTCTCTTCTGTCTCGTGTCTTTTGTTTCTCAGCCCTGCAACTACGTGCCACCGTATTCTCTTTAATAAAACAAAGCGTACCACGAAAGCAAGTCAGAAACATTAATAAGCCGGCAACGCGTAGCATGCGGTGAGTCATAAATATTGCAGCTGGCTCGTATGAAAAGAGATCAGTGAGTTTATTGTAGCCTAGCTGACAGAGCCTTGCAGAACATCCCACTCTTTCTTCGGGGTAACTGTTTATCTTCAGGGCATATGTTTATATCTGAGAAATGCAATTGTTTTTTGTGCATTGTTTGACGGCTCCTCGAGCTCTGCACAATGAGGGAATACCTCAGTGACTCGGAGTTTCATGGGGATTTTTCTTCTTATTTATGATGTTTGCAATTTGTTTGGATTGATGCAAAAATACATACGGCTCTCTGTGTGCTCCTTCCAGTTGAGTTTGATGACTGTGCGGGGAATGAGGACGTGACGTTTGGTGTGTCGGATCCCGGCTTCCACGTGGACGGGGATCTGAATCTGGTTCCTCTGCGAGATCTTCCGCACAGTGAGCCGGTCCTCTTCATCCGCGGCCTCAGCGCACGTGCAGACGACCTAGCGCAAGTGGACATCATAGGAACACATGGTCGGTCAGCAGAGACACTCGGGGTGAGTAGAACTGGTGTGTTTGTATGTTCTATATCAGCTGTCATATCTGAAAAGGTTATTTTTGATTAAACTTGGAAAATGTTACTGAAAAGTAGTGAAAGCAGGCACTGTGATAAATATCAAAGTCTGGGAAAATAAGTAACAAGTATTAACCCTCTCAAGGCAGGCGTTGCCGATTTGCAACAGTTAAAAACTAACAACCTGATTACCCCACATACATATTTTATGAGTTTTTTTTACTCAGAAGTACCACTGCAGGACTTCGGTGTGCATTAGCAATGAAAAGTTTAATTTGAGCCTGAACATGTCTATTCTCTTTCTTGTCAACCATGAAAGGTGACTGATTCACTTCCATGTATTTATAGCAGCCAGGAGCTGGTTGGCTTATTTTCCACATAGATACTGGGAACAGAAATAAACAATTATCTTTCAGCACCAGTAAAGCTCTTAATTATCACATCATAAATATATCTGGTTCTTTAGCAGTTGAGTTGTTAAGTACACAACTGCGATATCTCAACAACTGATATGTTTAAGTGGGTGTTGATGATGTGACATTTCTATGAAAAGCTTCCTATGGTCTGGCTGATTTCACGACGCACTCAGACGCGTCAAACCAATGTTTGAAAAACTGTCATGCAGTAAATTCATCTGCAGTGTTGGGGAGTAACGGAATACATGTACCGCCGTTACGTATTTAAAATACAAAATATGAGTAACTGTATTCCGTTACAGTTACCGTTTAAAAAGGTGGTATTCAGAATACAGTTACTTTGTTGAAATAAATGGATTACACTGCGGTACTTTCCCTGTTTCATCTTGTCGCGGGTCAGGACTGTTTGGGTTTTGTTTGACAGCTACGTTCTGTTGTTCCAGGCGGCAGCGTTACGGTTGCCATGGTTACAGGGCGACGCTCTCTCTCTCTCTGCGACTGTGTGTTTCCTGGGTGAGAGAGCGCCTTTTCGTTGTTGTTGTTGTTGTGCTAAGCTAACAGGCAGAATGCTACAAGCATAGCTCTAAAGAATGTAGCATCATGGGCAGTGTAGTCCGTGCTGCAGGGAGAATGGACTGCCATACACGTTATGTGTCTGTGAGCGCGAGGAGGGAGAAAAAGGGGAGTGGAAAAGTACGAGCTGTCATCGAGCAGAAACGGGAGCTGGAAGCATGTAAATATAATAATAACCACTGCAGCCAAGAAGAGTGCCTGACGAGCCCAGTTGTAAGTAAGCTATTAAGACTCGACTGTACACCGTGTTCGTGTTTTCCTCCGAAAACAATAAGTTCCGTTGGAGCAGCCTTTCAACGCCTCTCTCTGTCTCTCGCAAGAAAAGTTGACCCACACAACAAAGTAAAGCTATTTTTCGGCTACGAGCCGACAGGGACCCCGCCGTATTAGTCAGAGGTCCCTTTACTACAGTTCGGAGTCGCGGACCTTCAGTAACAGTAATAAATCACACAGCAATAGTACATTCACGTTGTTGTAAAAAGCATGATAATATATTAAGTAATCCAAAGTATTCAGAATACGTTACTGTCATTGAGTAACGTAACGGAATACGTTACAGAATACATTTTGGGGCATGTATTCTGTATTCTGTAATGGAATACATTTTAAAAGTAACCTTCCCAACACTGTTCATCTGTTTCTTATTAATGTCAATATTTTTTCCCTTGGTCCAGATAATCCAGCCCTGGGTAACATAAAACCTCTGCTAGTATTGTTGTCAGTGCCGTGCACTTGTCATGAGCCTTTATGCTTTGTCCCAAGTGCTGAATACCGAAATGACTGACATGTTAGCAGCCTCCAAATGCCATGTAAATACAAATATGAAGGTAAATAGTTTGCGGTGTGAAAAACAAAGCAGTTACTGGATGTCGACTCATTCAGACTATATTTTGTGTGGAAACTCGATTATTAGCAGGAACTGCATTGTGGTGTTGGATGAGCTTGTGTAATATAATCATGTCGGGCTCTATGGAATAAACAAATGGTTGACCGGTGACCCTTTGGAATTACTAGTGGGTGGATTTTGTTAACCTTGGGCAAATCTATGCAAGCTCTTTTACCTTTTGCAAGGTTTTTGCTGTGAGTTAAGGTAAGTAGCTTCTGGCTCTTGCAATAAATTATGCTCATGCAATACTTTTATTAATGAGACAGTTAATGACCATAACAGAATCAACCTGGGAAAGCAGCAGACGTTCTTTGTGTTACAATGAAAAACCTCAGTTTGTCACTATGAACACATTCTAGGAAAAACAAAACGACAATGACAAAACAAGACTGAGACTGTCTTGTTTTTATTTTGAAATACTTTGTGCTGAGGTCAAAGTCAGCTTGAGCTGCTGATGTTC